ACTATAAAAACTTCTTGCAAATTTCTCTTTGTTACCTGCTCCTAGTAGACATCGAGTGAGTTAAAAAAATTTTCATGTGAATTTTGTTTAAAATTGCTTTGAGGATTTGGTTTTGAAGATTTCTGGAAAACTTGTCCGTTTTGTCTGTTACTGCTTGGCAGGACTGGTGAAGCAGCTCACAGCTTTCTCTGGGGCTACCAAGGCAGCAAGGATAAAAATAGGACAAACTTTAAGAATCCCAGATATTTTCAGATAACAAAGACTGATTTATGCAGACCCGTTTGTGCTCTGACCAAACATAGAGACGCTTTTGTGCTGTGATTAGCAAGGGTGCTGATGTCAGTCCTCTTGTCAAGCTTGAAGCTTTATTCTGTGGCTAAATTGTGCTTTGTACCATAATCCAGAGAACCTTTGTATCTGCCTTCTTAAAGTGTGTAGTTTATGTAATTGCTTTTGTTTTCCAGTTATATCGGTGCCAGATTCAATGAGAATGACTCATTTTGTGACTGAGACAAACATTCACATTTGGACCATGTTAAAAATAAATAAATAAGTGGCAGGTGCTACTTGGCTAAATTCTGTGTTGTAATGTGGTAATTTCCTGCTGTAAGCAGTCGTGCTTTGTATAGTATCTATCGGTCTCTGTAATCACTAGTCCAGTGGATCTCAGGCAGTGTACCTCAGTACATTGCTCCTCATTTCTTAGCTGTTTTACTTCCTAGGGGCTTTTAGAATTTCAACAATGGGATTTAAACAGAGAAGCAAAGGAATGGATGGGTGAAGCCACAGTCAACTAGAACGCAAAGCATGACGCAGCCGAAGGGCATACTGCATTCTATTCTGTTTTTGTTACTTTCCCAAGATGTCCATGCATGTATTTCTAGTACAGTTATGTTAGTTATGTTTGTCATGTACACTTGCATTATTGGAGTTTTTTTCCCCCTGGTGGAAAAGGTTTTAAAAGCACACCTTTCTTTTCATTGTATCCCATATAGCAAATTTAATACTCAAAAATTTTACAGCTTTGTCCTTTCAAGGGAACTTTGTTTATCAATATTTTATGAATATTTCAATATTCATACCAGGCACTGTGTTGTGTACTGAGTATGGAATAGCAACAAAACAGATGTATCATTATCTTCTTGGACTTTGCAGTATGGTTAGGGGCTTAGATGCTGAACGAAAAGTAGTGTATGCATGAAGAAAAATTGATCTGCAGTCTTATATAAATCACAGCATAGTCAAGTAATAGGATTCCCAAGACTGTATCCTGCTTTCATTGGGATGGTTGGGTTGAGAAAGGGGAGAGGGCTGAAGGCTAGCAGACCAGGAGAAAGAACACGATAGACAGATAAACAGCATGTGCAAAAGTCTCTGAAGCAGGAGAGTCTGGCCTCCTGTAAACCATATTATCAGAAGGGAGAAGTGGCAATTGATAAAATTTGAGAGTTAAGATAGAAAGCTGCATTTAAAAGATGGTAGATGAATTCTATAGACACAGCATTGTTGCACCGTGTGATGTGGGGGCAGATTACCTCTACACAGCCCCAGAGCCACTGAGGTGTTCACTAAAATACAGCAGAGAAATCGCACTACTTAGTCTCAATCATGAGGGAGTGGACGAATTATGTTCAATGAATTATGTAGTAAGACATGTTGGAAAGATTTCCCTGCAAGACATTAAAGTTTGAAAAAGTTATTTCTGTATTTAAAAGTGAAACCTCCACTACTTAGAGAAATCACCAACCAAGAGGAAAGACACCTTGATGGCCCTGCTTAAATAACGTAATGTTCTGCTTTCTTCTCCCTGTACTTGCCTGTAATTCTTTCATGCTCACTGCTTGATAGGGCAGTACCCATAGAGGCTTAGTTTTACACAGGGATGACTTTCATTTATTTTAAAGCAAATAAATGTGTATTGAATGAGTGGATTTTTATAATTCGGGGTCCAGTCTACATGAATCTAACACATTGTAAGTTTTCAGTAATACTTAAAACACACACAGACACCCAATTCTTTACTTTTTTCTCTGAGCTGCAGTCAGATGGAGAAGTTAATTGAAAATACTAGTGATTTTAAAGAACTGCATAATATTGTTGGGCTTTACAATTTTTCTAATAATTTCCATGCTAAAGGATTGCATACATTTTTCCCCTTATGAATAGCTATCTACTTAGCAATATTTCTGCAGATGTTTGGCCAGAGTTGCTATGTGCTAAAGTATTTTCATATATGTTAATATTTTCTTCACAAGTAGCAAGCTCTATGCAGGTAGAAATCATGAATTCTCTACGTGTCCTTTTGTTCTCATAAGTGGTTTCAGAACGTGGTATTTTTGTAATAACCAATTATCTAAATTTTTTTGAATGGATGTAACTTAAAGAATCTCTTAAAATACTAAGCCTAAAGTTATCACCTGTATGAACTCAGTTATCTGTATAGTTGTCTGTTGTATTTAAAACTGAGAGGCTGGTTTCTGGATCACTGAGGATCCTTCACTGTCATTTTCTGACTCTGCTTCTGATTATTGATGGACCTTTATAGCTCCTCCATCAGGGAGCTGCAACTCAAAAATCACTTCCTGTCAGAAAGTGATAATAGAAGCTAATACTAAATATCTAGTAGAGGAGCATATGTATTTTAGTTATTAATCTGTTTATTTTCCTTTCTCATGTGTTTTTCAGGATAAAACATAGCCAGCTACGTTTTTAAACTGGCTCTATAATTCCTTTGTATTACAGTTTCCAAATTTTGTGAGAAACAAAAACATGGAGAACCTATCATTGCTTTGGAAGGTTTTAGTAGATATTTTCTTAAAAATGATTGCTACATATGTTATACTAACATGCATATGTTAGTGAAAACACAGACATATTATTTTGGGGAAATTGGCATATGTGAACATCAGGAACATTAGTGAGCATTTTGGGTCTGATTGGATTGTCTGCTTAGCATGAAACTTGTAAACTAAAATTTCTGAAAGCATAGGGCTGCTGTTACTCAAGTTATCACTGGAAAAGAGACATGTTAGTTCTGGTTATAATTTCCCAAACCTAAAGCATGGAAACATTTTGCCTTGTGCTTAGTTGTGATCTCCAAGTGCACAGAAAGGGCAGTGAGAGCGTGAATTCCACCAGGGTTTGTACGCTGTCCTGGGTCTCGTCCTTCTGCTGCCCAGGGTGCTTCTTTGGGTGATGTGACATGGAATGTTCAGTCCAAAGTATAGAATGTCTCTTAGTAGATGTCTTGTTGCTGGGACAAAACACCCAATACCTGCTACTTAAAGGAAGGGAGGTGTATTTTGGCTCATGGTTTTAGCCCATGATTGGCTGGTGCTGAGGCAGAAACCGGATGGCAGAGGGGTGTGATGGAGAAAAAGGTGCTCAACTAATGGCAGCCAGGAAGTAGAGAGAGAAGGGAGAAGATGGGTAGAAGAGTATAGTACACCCTTCCAGGTTGTGCCTTCAGTGATCCCCCTTTTCCACCCAGGCCCAGTCTCCTGACAGCACAGTTAGCTACCAAACTCATCAGTGGATGAGTCCACTGAGGAGCACAGCACCCCGTGATCCGATCACCTTCAAAACATCGAGCTCTCGGGACAGTTTAGATGTAAACTGTAACTGTAGGGGACTGAGACTTGCTAAGCTGACTGCTCTGAAGGATGATCCTCCAAAAGGAGTAAGGCTTGGTTTTGTTCCCAGGCACAGATGTAGGGTTTAAAGGTGGATGAACAAGACTCAGCCATTCATCCTGCTATTATCATTGGGTGACAATAGATTTTGGAGAGGGTGGTAACAAGAGATTTGAGCCCTTCTTAGGCATAATATGAAGCTCAGAATTTGAAAATATAAAACCTTTGGAGGGAAGAGATAGTGAGGATAGGTCTAGATTGCTAATACATGTTTGTTGGGAGGATGAGGAGAAAGACTAAAAAAGTTATAGAATGCAGATCTTCTCTGTGGAATCCTAAGTGACCAGCTGGCCAAAAAGAGGCAGTCTTACTACTTGCTTCCTGGACAAGAAGCCAGGAGAGTTCCTAAAGCTGTTTTTCCCCTCATCACTCCTTGCCTCTCCAGCAGAGAAGAGGGAGCAGGGAGAGAGAGAATTCTATAGTCCAACATCCATAAGAGGCTTATGAAGAGAAGTTATGGTAGAACCATTGCTTTTTTTTTTTTTAAACTGTGGGTAAAATGCAGTTTACTCTTCTGTTTTGAGTAGGTAGTGTAGTGTTGTTAAGTACATTCATATTTTTGTACAACAGTGACCAGTGTCCATCTCTAGATTTCTTTTAATCTTCCCCAACTGAAAATGTACCCGTTGAACGCTAACTCCCTACATCTCCTCCTCACCAGTTCCCAGAAGCCACTGTTCTCTTTCTGCTTCTGTGAATCTGATCACAGCAAATATCTCATATAAGAGGAATCGTATAAAATTTTTTTTGCTGATTGTTTGGTTTTCGTTTTTCTTCCAGTACCAGGAATCAAACTCACGACCTTGCACTTGCCAGGCAGGCACTTTGCCACTGAGCTAAATCCCCAACCCCTGAATCGTACAATATTTGACCTTTCATGAAAGGCTTGTGTCACTCACCATAACATCCATTCCTTTGTTTGTTTATATCCTCTTTTCCCAACATCATTTTTTTTTTTTAAACCAGGAATTGAACTCAGGACCTCACACTTGCAAGGCAGGCGCAGTGCTGCTGAACTATATCCCTGGCCCCAACATCATTTGTTGAAACTACTGTGTTTGTTTATTTAGTAGAAATCAAACTTCCACTGGTATTATATCAGAGGAGAGTTCCTAGAAAATTCTAAATGTATACATCATTAACTTAATTTGAGCATTTGTTAACTTTGCTGTTAAGAACGGCCAGTTATCCTGTGGAAAAAATATTGTGACTTTTTCTAGATAATGCACTTATGAAATTGTGTTAATAGGTGTGTGCCTTTTCAAAAATTCTCTCTCATACTAAATAGATATTTTGTTTTGTTCCTAGGCATGGAAGAGGAGATGGTTTGTGTTACGCAGTGGCCGTTTGACTGGAGATCCAGATGTCTTGGAATATTACAAAAATGATCATGCCAAGAAGCCTATTCGTATTATTGATCTAAATTTATGTCAGCAAGTCGATGCTGGATTGACATTTAACAAAAAAGAATTTGAAAACAGCTATATTTTTGATATCAACACTATTGACCGGATTTTCTATTTGGTAGCAGACAGTGAGGAGGAGATGAATAAGTGGGTCCGGTGTATTTGTGACATCTGTGGGTTTAATCCTACAGAAGAAGGTAAGCTCAAGATTGTATTATTCAATTTGAGTTCTCCCTTTTTGCTACATTTTTAAAAATGTCCTACAAAATATTACTTCATTTACACCCTAAAATGTTTTGTTTTATAATAGGAACTTGATATTTGGAAAAAAAACCCACTGATCTCTTTTGTCAGTGTGGAGAGAAATGTACAAGTTTGAGAGAGAAAGCAGGAAGAGAGAGAGAGAAAGGAAAAGAGGAGGGACAGAGAGAGAGAGGGAGAGAGAGGGAGAGAACAGGTAGACAGGCAAACTGACTTAACCATTACAGAACAGGTGACAAGAGAACATCTCTAAGAGCTTTTTACTGAGTTTTAACAAATTAAATCGAACCATTCGCCACTGTAGATATTTGGCTATTTTTGACCATTAAAAAATACCAGTTTTTTTGTGTTTCAACCCAACTCTTTAGGCGTTATTATAAGAACTATATTAACTCTTGAAATTATGCAATGGCCAAGGTGATCAACACTTAGGAAAAGCAAATAGAAAGTAAGCACAAAACACAATGAAAAAGTACCAAATAGATGAGTTCATTTAGCACAAATCCTAAAAAGAGTGTAGAGGAAGGAAAAGGGTTGCTCCAGGTTTAGGTTAGAGGGAGTAGAGAAAAAATTCTCAGGACCCTAACTGTAAATCGTAGGCTTTTGAAGGAAGTTGTATTTCTATGTAAGTGAAAGTAGGGATACAGTCCTCCAGGCATGGGGATTTGGGGGAAAAATAAAGACTCCAAGATAGAATAGAATTTTACTTGACTGAAGCAAAAGACTATGGATAAAAGAGACATGGGAACAGCTGCTTGTAGAACCTGAATGAGGAACAGAATTGCAGTGCCTATCCCCAAAACAGCTTAGTGATTAGCCGGCTTAAGAATTTTGTGAATCTTCTCCAGGTCATTGTCTGTAGCTGTTCAACCATTTATTCCCTGTCTATTTGTCTACTTCTCTTTCTTTTTAAACATATACTTAGAATCTGTGTAGGGTACCAAGGACCAGAAATAAAGGTGAACTGGTTTTTGACCTTACTGTCTTTATGGCTGTTCAGCAGTCCCCTTTATTCATGGGAGGTGTGTTCCAAAACAGGACTAAGCTGTGTAGGCTACATTTCTCCCCCTCTCCATACATATCAGATTTTATTTGTAAATTATACACAGGAAAAGATTAACAACAACATTAATAAAAGAACAGTTGTAACAGTGAACTGCAGTTATATTACCACCATCTTACTCTTGCTCTTTGGGGCCATGATTATGTAAACTAGGGATTACTTGAATACAAACACTATAGTACCAGGGTGCCACAATTGTTAGGATCTAACTATCAAGATAGCTAAGTGAGAAATAGGCAGGTAGCATATACCATGCAGATACACTGAACAAAGGGATGATTCATATGTCAGACAGGTTGGCGCAGGATAGCTCAGAAGAAACACAATTTGAAATTTATAAATTGTTTATTTCTGGAATTTTCCATTCAGTATTTTCAGACCACAGTTGACCTTGGGCAACTGATATTGCAGAAAGCAAAACTGCAGATAAGGATGGGTGGGGGGAGCCAGATGTGGTGCACATCTGTAATCCCAGCGCTTGGGAGGCTGAAGCAGGTGAATTACAGTGAGTTCAAGGCTAGCCTGGGGTACATAGTGAGTTCAAGGACAGTCTGAACCATGTGGTGAGAGCCTGTCTCAAAAAAATAAATAAATAAATAAAATAAGGAAAGGCTACTCCACTCACATTTAAAAGTGTGTATTCCCAAATATTTACACTAAGGGCTGAAGGGATGGGAAGATTTATTAATAAATATAATCAACATCAAGGTTGGTATTGAAGAGAAATTGTAGTCATCTCTGAGCACAGCATGTTGCTTCTACTGTGGCCAGTATACAGTCCTGGAGAAGGCCCTCGAAGGGCTGAGGTGGGGCTGGGGGAGGGGACAGGCCCTAGGGAGAGAGCGAGGAAGGGTCGAGGGCCGGCACTGAAAGCTCAGTGCAGCAGGCAGTGGTTCTAGTTAGCCAAAGCTGGTCCCGGGAGCTCAGGAGCAGATCTAGACAGAGCTCTAGTGATGACAAGCCTCAGCAAATTGCTTCATCAGGCAATTAAGGCTTCGACAGCTCACAAAGGTACTAAATATATTCACAGAGTGCTTGAGCATTGGGAGGGGTATCATTTCTAACTCTGGTTAGACTCCTTTTCTGTTCACATAGGTATCTATATTTGTGTGCAGTGCAGGATTTTAAAGTTCAAGTCACATAGTTCACTTTTCCATGGTTGTTACGATAATTGTTAGATTAGACATTACATTAGTTTCATTGTGACAAGCTTTCTGTGTAAATAACTTGTTATAATAGTTTTGTTGCTGCTATCATTCCTTGGCCTGCTGCCTTTTTTATTTTGAAATTGTTTTGGGAGACCTCAGAGTAGACTTCTGTCACCAGTGGTTGCCTACAAGGCTCAATTGTAGATGTTCTTCCACGATCCTCCTAAATTTAACAAAGGAAATGAGATGCTGACCTAGAGGATGTGCCTTCTTCAGTATTTAATTTCTGGAAGCCCATTCAAGAGTAGGTAGAGTGGAGAAGCCCCCAAGATAAGAATTTTTAATGCTTGTGTTGAAGATTAGCTTTTTGAGTTTTAACATCTAAAGTCTGGTCTGCTTTGTCTAGCTTGGATGGAAGGATTCTTATCATTCAAGAGGTAAATGAACACCAGACAAGCTCGGGGAAGAGGGAAATGGATTTGTCAGTTTACCACATCATTGAGTTTGCCAGCACTCTACTGGACTGTGGGCCCTCATCCCACACGTACATATGGAGTGACTAGCCAGGGGGACAAATGGTCAACCTCACAGATATGGAACTGAGCATCCAGTAGGAAAGGATTTATTATAAGAAATACCTAAAATAACCCATTACACTTGTTGATGAGTGTGTTTATATATAAAATACTGTGGGTATAGATACAGTTCTCCTTTTCGTAGCATTTGTAAGTTTGCCATTGGTCTAGTGGGGGATATAGTGAGATAATCCAGGAATTCATAATACCTATTGATAAGCACCCTGCTGCAGAAAAAAATGGAAAACATGGCTTAAATCAATCAAGAAAAACCCAGTTTTAAATGGCTCTGTGACTACTGCTGGTAATATACTGAAAATTTTATTTTTGTACTTAGGGGAACATTTTTAGGGACTTTAGAAATCAGAATCAGTCACCCTGTCTATTTCCACTTTATAAACCTCTGCCAGTATGGGGAGTGGCAAACTTTTTAAAAACTGGAAAGCAACAGTGACTTTCTAGTGGCAAAACTCTCAAGTCCTTATACAACAGATTAGAAGTATATGTGGGTTGGATGAGCTCTTAATTTGTGAACTTTTTATGTTCGCAGTATATAGGGGTAAGAGGCTTGTAAGAAAATCCATAGTGTGATTAATCAAATTTGATATGTGTGGTTGGCGAGTTGGTTAACCAAGAACAGCTGTGCTAATCACAAGTCCTTTTTATTTGTTCATTTAAAAAAAAAGCTCCCAAGACTTCAGTTTGCTAATAATTTCTCCCTTAAGTTCATGAGCTATATGTAAACACAACTGCACTTGATTTTAGATTTTGTTACTTAGATTCTTTGCAGCTTGTTCTGGTCATCTCCCCCAAAAAGCCACAGTCAGAAATGTCTTAATTTATTACATTGAAGTATAAGTTGAGTTTGTTGGAATAAAGCTATAAAAGAGGAACAGTTCAGTAAGTAGTGTCAAGAAGCCAAAGCATATTTTATTGTACTCTATAATTTTGGTTTTCAGTGGGTTGTAGCAGAACTACAAAAAGGCTTTAAAATCAACCTCTATTCTTCCTTGGATGACTTTGCTAAAAGTCTTTAAAAATTTAACTTAGCATGGATGAGTCCCTGGCTTCAACCCCCAGCACCACAGGTGGAATGGGGGACGATCTCACATCTAAAGACTTGTGTCAAATTCTAAAGAGCACTGCTATTTTCCTTCATTATTATAGTCTTAGAGATTAATGCAATGATAATCAAAATGTCTCTGTTCTTCCATTAAATTTACCACCTGCTTTAGATACTGTTGCTTCCAGGTGTGCCTCACCAGCAATCCCTAAACACTGGTGGAGATTTTTGTTTTTACCTGTATCTATCCCCTGAGCTGTGTTCTTCCAATTTCAGAGGGCTCAATGTGTTTCAGTTCTTGACTTGAGAATTGACTAATACCACAAGGTGATTTTTCACTGTGCTAGTTTTAGGCCAGATGTGGGAAGCAATAGAGTATACTTGGATATCATAGTCTATGAAAATAACTATCCCTGGTCCCTATGAGAATAACTAATTTTCCCCTGAAAAACAAAAGGAAAGGGGAAAAATCTGACCTGTGTTTTGATTCCAGGAACCTCTCAAAATATCGTTACCATGTTATTTCCGCTGCCCCAGGTGACCACTGCTATTATTGAATACTCTAAATGCTGGCAGGCTGAATCTGTTTTTAAATTCTAGCTCATTGAACTGAATGTGGTACCTATGAATGCTTTTCTTTAGTAGATTTGAGGGCAGAAACTAGTTTCTTTTGTTTTTCTTGGAAATGTGCGGATTTATTTTTGTTCCTACAACACCAAGGTGGAAGCTCTTAAATCTGCTAAACAAGTGCTGGGAAACACAGCTGAAAGGCTGCAGGAAGCTCACCAACTTCAGTAAAGGCCTCTGGGCCAATTTTAGGTTACAAGATTAGAAAGCGGCCCCTGGATTGGTTTTTCTAAAAATGCACAGAATACAGTGGCTTAATAAAACAGTGCAATTTTCTGTTTCATAGTCTTTTATTTTAGTAAAGTAGATAAGCTAAATATAAGAATATGTATATTATATAATAATATATATACATATACATATCTTCTTTTCCTTAAAGCAATCTTTCTTAATCAGGGCACTTAAAATTTCTTTTTATTGTGGTATAAGTCAGTGTGAATGCCATAGATCTTTACTGTTG